TTGTATGCTCTTCTGTAGTGGTTCATTGAACCACAATACTGATAAGTGATTAATAAAAGTCAAAAGATCAAAGAGGTCACCTTAATATCAAAAAAAAAAAAAAAGAAACAAATATTAATCTTATAATATCTAATCATAGTAGCCATATAGGCAAAAACCTTTAAGTTAAGAATCTTAGAGATAAAGGCCAATATTGGGTTTTGCAGCTTAGCCTGATCTGGCCTAATCCAGTCTAGCTTGTAAAATTTTGTGAACTAAACTAGATTTAAAACAAAATTTTATAATTACAAGCTAGTCCAGACCAAAAAATTTGCAAAATTTTATAATTATAAATTAGGTTAGGTCTAAAATTTTATAAAATTATATAAGAAATTTTTGTAAACTAGATTAGATGACAAAAAAATTTTAATTCTAAATATAGGCCAGGTCAAACTAGCAAAAAAATTTTAACTCTAAATGTGGACTGAGCCAAATCTCAAAAATAGGCAATTTGCAGGCCTTTACTCAGAGATACTACTAATCAGACTATTAAAATAAAACAGAAGAAAAGGATATCAGGCCAATCTAATATATTGATAAACTAATTATAGTTTTATATAAACTATTTAGATTAGAAGTTTGATAAAAAGGCAAATAAAAAATTAAGGATATACTAAAGTACTAAAGTTATACTATAAAGTAAATGCTAAGATCTGTATAAACTCTATAAAAATATAGTAGTTAAATGATATGACTCTGATTATAAGTGTTGGTTCTACTATAGCAATATCTAGATTAACTATAAAAATAGATAAAGAAGGCTTTAAAAGGTTTATCTTAATGATAAATTAGTTCTAAAATTGAAACAATGATCTGAGCATCTAGGTATAACCTAGTGAGTTAATACAGATTACAAGTTTAGAGAGTTTAAAGTAGAACATACAAGCAAAGGTATTAGGTATAATAATTAGTAAAAATCTTTAAGCAATTTTTTAAATAAATGATATAAAAAAGTTATATATATAGTCAATTGTACTCTCTTTTGTAGTAGTTTATAGAATTATATTACTAAAAAAATCAGTAATAAAAGTTAAAAGACTAAAAAAGTTATCTTAACACTAAAAAAAAATATATATATAAATACTTATTAGTATTATAGAAATAAGTTTAGGTTACAAACAAACTGTTTAAGCTTTAATTTTTATATAATATTAGAAGTCCATACTTAACAGATATATAAAGTAGTTTAATTTTTTAAATACAGTTGACCTCTATTAATATTAATCTTGTTAATATTAATATAAGTTACAAATTAAATTTTTATAAATTTTTATATATCAAAATTCCTTTATATATATCAACTTTAATAAAATTTCTTATTAATAATACTATTAATATAATTTAAAACCAATCCAAATAGGTTGATATAAATAAGGGTAGACTGTAGCTATAACTTTTTATCTAAGAGGTTTTAAAAAAATTTAACTAGTAACTTATAGAACTATATTAGTTCTATATATGTGCCAAATATTTTTTTAAAATCTGATTACTATAAAGAGTTAATGCATTTTAAAAAGTAAAATTTTATATGTAAATTTATAAATTTATATATAAAAATTTAATTTTTAAAATGCATCAACTCTTTATAGTAATCAGATTTTAAAAAAATATTTGGCATATATATAAAGCTAATATAGTTCTATAAAGTTACTAGTTAAATTTTTTTAAAACTATTTAGATAAAAAGTTATAGCTATTTAAAAAATTAAAACACTTTGTATAACTGTTAAGTATAGACTTCTAGCACCATATGTAATTTTTATATTATAGTTTATAATTTTAAAATATCTTAATATATAATATATTAATATATACAACTAAAATTACTAATAAAGATTGTAGAAAACTTTAATGCAAATTATAATAAAACTATTAAGTATAGAAACTAAAAAACTAAAAAAACAAAATTTACTTAAAAATTTCTAAATATAAAAAAATAATATAAACTTTTAATAATATTATTAAACTAATAAAAATTTCTAAACATTTTTTAAAATAATAGGCAGATAAACTAATTTATTAGCATATATAAAAGAATATATTCACAAAAACATATTAATAGTCTGGTTATAGACTTATCAAATTATTTAAATTAGAGGATGGTGATTCTAGTATAGTAGTTGGATTGTCATCCTCCAAGTAGCAGGTCTAAGGTTCAAATCCCACTTATGATAAAATTTGGAAATTATATCTGCATTATGGTAACTGTCTCCTGTTGATCGGTTGGCCTCATGTGACTGTTACTCAGGTACACCAGGTTGGGTCCCCCTGGCTTTGAGAGCTCAAGGCATCTATGCGAAGTATAACATTACACATACATAGAGGAATGTTAACTGGTGTTGCATAAGACTTCGGTACAAACTCATGATAAGACCACCAGGTATAGAAGACTAAGGAACTGAGATGACGAAAACCTACTTGGAAATTTCCAAGTAAAGAGGTAGCATAAACTTTTGACAGTACCATTAGACTAGTTGAAGCCTATGAAACACCTTCATAAGAACTGAAGATTAAAACTAGATGACAAATATATGTAGAGGAGCATATCACCAACCAGGCTGCCAGATTCACCAGAGGAAAAGGATACAGAAATATACCATATCAGGCTATCTGAATTGGTAGTCTGGAATGAGACTGACGGTTCTAAGTTGCAATTAATAGGAGATGATGAAGAAAATGCTGAAAAGATGGGTATTGGGGTTCTAGTAAACTTTATAAGGGTAGAAATAATGTAACATAGTGGTTAAACAGGTAATTCCTGTGACTTCAAGTGTTAAGTAACTATAGCGTGTTGCATAAAACTAGGTCTATATGTGTGAGACATAAAAGCTCTAGTAAGTTTTTTATCAAGAATAAAGTAGTTCTAAGAAAACTGATAAGTATCGGAAACTTAAATGGACAGCACTTTGAAATGTTCTTGTGATACAAGGAGGACTGCATATGCAAAGGGTTTAAATAGGCAAGACCCCTAGTTGACTTGCAGATATGGCAACTAGTGTAGAACTTATATAGTAATATGTAAGCGGATTACTTAAATTAGGCATCAAAAGTACATATGTAGCTAGTTGTAACCTCCAATGTAAGATGAGCCTCTGGTGGCATGCTGTGTCCTAATATACTTGAATAAAAACATCACTACTCCCAAGATAGGGACTTTAAAAAAAAAAAAAAAAAAAAAAAAAAAAAAAAATTTATTTAAATTAATAGTTTAAAATTTTTTATCTATTCTAAATAAGAAAACTTAATAAAAAATAATAACAAAAATATTAATAAGATAGATATCAAGGTTTTAGTAAACTTTATAAAGATAAAAATAATATAATATAATAATTCAACAAATAATATTTGTAATTACAAGTATTAAACTAATTATAATGTATTATATAAAACTATATTAACTATATACAAAACACAAAAAGTTTAATAAGTTTTCTATTAAGAATAAAATAATCCTAAAAATATTAATACGTATTAAATACTTTGGATAAATTTAGTCTTGAAAATGTTTTTGAAATACAAAATAAATTACATATACAAAGGTTAAAATAAGCAAGACTTATAATTAACTTGCAAGTATAACATCTAATATAGAACATGTATGGTAATGTATAAACAGACTACTTAAATTAGGTACCAAAAATGCATGTGTGGCTAGTTGTAACCTCCTATGTAAGAAAACATCCGTGTCCATAAAAACATCACTTTCCAAAGACAGGAACTTTAATTTAAAATATATACATATATATATATATATAATCTTTGATATAAACAAAAACATTGTAACAAAAACTAACAAATATTATAATAAAAACTAAAAAATATTAAACCATTAATATTGGATAAATTGTTGTCAAGTTATTTATGTTTAATGTTTTAAAAAAAATCAATATAAACAGTTTGCTTACTTTCTATTGAACCCATATATCGATATCGAATGACCTAAGTTATTTGAACTTTGAAATAACACGATACCTAATCATTTAGGCTATTTGAGTCACTGTGAAACATTTACCATCACTGATTAGAATCGTCCTATAAACTACTGTATTTAGAGAATTGAATCTAAATTTAAAATTTTAATGCTTTTTGTTTATTTAGCGTTACTTATGACAAATTTATAATTACAATTGTACATAATAATAAATAACAAATAGTTCATAATCTAAAAGCCTCCAATGAAACTCTTGCTCCTACTTCACTTAACTTTGGAAATAATTCATCATTCTCACCAATTACATATGTAAGCGTACATCGTTGATAATAATCACCAGCAAATGTTTCGATATTATCAATTATATTATCTAATAAATAAGCCTTGGCGATTGAGATACCTCCAGCAATGGTATCATGACGAAGATGGGTAACATGAACATGAAAATGATCTATAATAAAATGAAAGTTGTTATAAAATAAATATTTGTTTACACATGAAAAAATAAAGAACTTACAGTAAGAAGGTAAATAATGTACAAACAGTCGTAGCTCATCAGCTCCAACACCAGGAAATCGTTGTGGCACGATTTCAAGTATATTATTTCTCAAGCTTTTTAACAACGGTAAATGGGAGTCATTCAGATCTCTTAAGGATCTAATATCATTGTTATGTACAATTGCTACAAGATATAAGCTTTCTAATGTTTTTCCATCCCACTTCCTATTTATAAATTAGAATTAATGCAAAGTTCTGCTTAAATTCGGAGTAGTTATTTATAAGGTGCTTACATATCCGGAAGTAAGATAAACCCTTTTTCCTCACCATCAACTTCAAAAATAATCTTTTCAACTTCACTTTTTTTTTGTAGAATATTATAAACCCACTGAATTCTGCTTGCAGGAACTGATTTGATAAACGGTTTCACAAACATCTCGTAAATTTGCGGAGTTTCACGAATCAAGTAACGTTGCTGGAAACTGTACTTTCTGATATGCTTTTTTTTGTAACATAGTTCAGAAATTGATTTAACTAAGAAAATAATTTACACTAATAATTTTGGAGAGTCCTTTTAAAACCTACTGTTTCAGTAGCAGGCCAAATCAAAATGATTTTAAAATCTGGCCATTTCTTATCTTTATGAAAGATCCCTTTGTACCAATGATAGATATCATTTTTATCTAACGCAACCAATTGATCAATTCGTTGAGCAGTCAAGATTTCGTGTTCAGAATTTTCAAAATGAAGCTTTTCAAATATAAGGATCGCTTGATGGGATTCATTAGTTTGAGAAGTACGAATAGTGCCAAGAAATGTTATGGATTTTGTACGAGGATCTTTAATTTTATTGGGTTTAGCAAATATACAATGGAAGTATGAGGACCAGTAATATTTTAATATTCTGACCTTCGTTAAGGACTCTAATTAATTTGAATTCTTTCAACTCATCAAGTGTCAGGGCTTGAGTTGTCGTCATTTCAATTTTCTGTCAACGTTGATGAATGATTTTGATTTTATTGCAGATTCTCGATTTTGATTGGCTAACGACCGTGATCTACAAAATTTGGCACTTGGAATTACTTATACCTAGAGATGGGCAAATCGCGGTTTTTCAAAAAATCCCGCGCGGGATTCATTAAATCTAGGTGCCGCGCCGTTGAACCCCAATTTTGATTTTCCAACGGCTGTGATCGACAAAATTTTGGCCGCATTATACATAATTTTGGCTTAAGGTTTGGGTC